AACGAGCTAGCTACAGAGCTACAACATAAAAATGTGCACACTGATAAAAACACAAAAAGTTTTATTCAAAACATAAATTATAATATATAAAATGATATAAATAGAGATTTATTTAAGCAGAGGCTTAATTATCTTTTATATGTGTGCGACAGAGCCGGATTAAGGGCGGGGCAAGCGGGGCTGTGGCCCAGAGGCCCCCCACAAGGGGCCATTCTTTAATTACGTACGACGATTTAGTGATTTAGTGACGAGTGCGGTCGACCATGTCTTATTTTTTCTTACAAGTGGTTGGGAGGGAGTCTCGATAGTTCTTACGTAAGATCACAAAAAATGCGCATAGTTAAAATTACACTTTGTAAAAGCGCGGGAATATATATAACTATAATAGAGGGAGGGGGGCAAAACTAGCGAAAATAGTCTTACGTAATAAATGATTGGCGCCAAACAGAGATAAAAAAAACGACGGGTCACCTAACCAGGGGGGTGCAAATAGTAAGTGGTCCGGCAGGGGCTTCCTCTACAACTGGCCGCGCTTACACTGGTAACATGGAATGACCCTACTATGGTATGTCCCTTGAGGGGTTTGACGGATAAGTCTTGCAGGGTGAGTGTGATTGTCACTGAGTAACACCACTACCATGTCTGAGTTGACCTTCACGTAGGCTCTGCATCTGGGATAGGAAACGCAGTCCCAGCGATGAAGTGCAGCTGTGTTCTTCAAATAATAAAGAAAGCCGCCGTAGTACAATCTCTGCTTACCATTCACCATTGTCACAATTCTAGCTGTAAATAAGACCAGAATTTAAGAACCGGAAGAATAGAAGAACCCAAAAATATAAATTTGTTATGTGGTTTGGTTTAGTAGATTATTTATTTTCCAGGAAACGGAATTGGAATACAACATCTACTTTTATAATAATGGCTTTTGTCCGCGTAGGTATTACGAAAAATTTGGCCGCCGAGGATTTGTCACGGACTCAACGCATACGGTGTGTAGATATTTGTCCCCCAAAATTTTGGAGAGGAATTTTGTTGAGATTGTTTAGTATGCTTTGACTATTATCGCCTCCGAGATTTATTTTTCTTTACTATGTAGTACCCTCAGTACGACCAGTCAGTCCGCACTTTAGAGCGTAGTAAAAAAGTGAGAAGTATCCCCTCTTTTCACCACGTCCTGTCGACGCTGCTAGGGATAATACATAAATAAATGGAATTTGTAAATATGGTTGCAGCTGCAGGTTTATTCCAAATATCGAGATCATTTTCAGCACTGTGAACCTCAAGATGGCAGATATCACGCATCGAAATTTATTGACACAAACTTATTTTTTTTAAAGCTTCTATTAAACCTTTTTTTTGTTTAATTCACTGTGTTTTATTTTAAATTATATGAATTTTCATGTATTTCCTTGTCCCATCATATATAAAGATACTTATCTCTGTGCTTACTGACTTCTGATTAAAGGTTTTTTATCATTTATTTACACCTATTCTATTTATATATAAAGGTGAAACTCTAAATGATTTGGAGGGTACCTTAATTATTAGAAGCAGGCTACATATTTCTTGGGTTAATTTTGTATTTTTTTACGTAACACGTTTTAGCGGGTAAGCGACCCGCTAAATTGTAATTGTAATAAATATTAGGGTCGGCGGGATTCTAAATCTCTTCGGCGATAACAGGATAATTCAGATGGAACTTCACTTAGGTAATTTCGTTTAATCATTCAATTATCCTGTTATCGCCTCCGAGATTTATTTTTCTTTACTATGAAGATGTTCAGAGAGTAAAAATCGATATTGTTAAGAAATAAATAGGGTATTATCCGATATAAAATACAATAAATCATTTTCATGATTGCTTTTAGATACTTAGTACCAACATGCGTTAAGCTTTGATAATTATCAGCAACGTTGCTAGATAGATTTGAACTTTTATTAACACTACTCTTCTGCAAAGTCTGCTTTATCTATCGACCAAAGGAATTCGATGAATCAGCTTTTAGTTAGTTAGAGTTTTATTTCTTTTTTTTATAAGGCCATAAAGAAGTCTGAAACGAGATTACATTTTTTAATATGTAATCTCGTTTCAGACTTCGGTCTGATAGCGGTAGTTGTGACATATAAACATCCAGAGTATTCCAGAGTAACAGAAGAGCAAATTATGTACTATAAAATAAGATTAGACCCAGCACTGTCTGAGCATGTCCTTAATAAATTAAAAAATCAATTTGATGTAAAATTATTCAATTTGTTGTAACAATAATTATCTTATCCTTATGTGGAGAAAACTAGTTTTTTTATAGAATAAATAAGCCACAATAAAAAACAATGATTACTTAATTTGAAGTTTGTATTCTACACTTAGACATTCCTTTTTAATTATTTGATGAATGTGTTAAGATTTTTTTTTTACATTTCCGATGATGAAGTCTATAAACGTTACAGATTCCTTTTTTTTCTTCAACAAATATTTCAGCTTTGTCCTTTCGGTCATGATTCTCTTTTTTGATGTATCATACAGGATTTAATTTTTCCACTTCTTTTATTAAAAAATACTATTGATTTAATGCGCCATTGTGCATACGTAGCTACATCACTCTAAAGTAGTTATGTTTACAATGCCATATAGTAACAGTCTGTCATATGAAGAAAATATTGTTAGATATAAGTTGAATCTAACATTGAGAACCATGACTCAGTACAATTTTAAAAAAGTACATTTAATTGACATTATTAAATTAATATCTAATTTATATACACGAAAAAAGATAAATATTATCTTTCATTTTATTTTACACATATAGCCAATTTGGTTACAGCAACAACTGCTTCTATTGAGCAGGAAAATGTTATATGCAGTACTTCTTTGCGATTTGTTCCAAATGTACTTAACAATATATATTGTTTAAATTATTTGTTTATTAGGTTTTCACGCACATCACTCATTAAATAAAACAATTTTTAACGGGTTATATGTACTGAAAATATTTATTTATTGATGTTTCGCATACTTTGCAGGAATGCCTCGTCAGAATAATTCAGTTTTTTTTAAATAAATAGTGAGACAAAAGGTGCAGAGAACATCTTGACATGCAAAGACAAAGATACGTCTAGTTGTTTAAAAATTGTTCATCAGAACATACAGGGCTTAACTGGCAAAAAATTAGAAATTAGTTTGTATCTTAATTATGAAAGTATTGACGTGATACAGAGCACTGGTTACATACTTCTCAGTTACAGTTGCTAAATTTTGATAATTATAGACTTGTGGGCTCATTTACCAGGAATTCTGCTATTAGGATCCTTGATAACGTAGAGATCTTGAGTTTATTGAAGTTTTTTTAAAGTTTTTTTAACTGCAATACATATTTTTTTGAATATATGATGAGATTTATATACACACATCAAAAGTGTCTAGGGATCAAGCATTTTTATGCGGATTTCTTGAGATTGAGATGTGGCTTTGTAATAAATTTATGATTTTATAAATTTATATGGATCCTTTTTGGTGCATTTCATAATTTGAATCAGGAACTGTGAATCAAATTCGAGTAAAAGATGAAAATCAGCTGTCAATATTTTCCCTATAAAAACATACAACGCATTGAAGACATTATTAGTGCTACTGTTTCCCTACTACTGATTAAAACCAACGTTATTATGGAGCGGCGACGTCATTTAAGCAGGGAAGAAATGCTCAGAGCCGTGGGAATGATAGAAGCTGGTTCCCGGCAACGTACTGTGGCTTTAGCTCTGAATACAAGTCAGAGTGTTATCAGTCGACTTTGGACACGATACCGAAGCACTGGTACCGTGGCTGAGCGCCATGGAGGACGGTATCGCTGCACCACACGGAGACAAGACCGATACATTCAAATCTTAACTCGAAGAGCTCCAACAATAACCGCCATGATGTTAGCCGTGAGGCTTCATCACTCTTCAGGGAACTTAATTAGCGACCAAACAGTCAGAAACCGCTTGCATGAAGTGAACCTTCATTCCCGAAGACCGCTACGGGTACCACCTATAGCAATGCACAATCGTAGGATTCGATATCAATGGGCTCTTGAACACAGAAATTGGGCAGAAGAACAATGGCGTTTCGTGTGCTTTTCTGATGAGTCTCGTTTTGGTATGAGACCGGATACAAGACGTATACGACACTGGAGAACCCCTGGACGCCAACAGCGATTAAAATCCTGCCAGGAAGTCCATCCTTATAGTGGTGGAACCATCATGGTATGGGCGGGTATTTGGATCGGCGGAAGAACTGAGTTGATTTGGATCAGAGGCAACCTCAACGCTCAAATTTATGCTGAGACGATTGTATCAGACGTCATCGTTCCTCTACAAGTGCAAATCGGTCCCTTATTTCAGTTAATGCATGATAATGCACGACCGCACACCGCAAGAGTTGTAAGACAGACTCTCGCCGCAGCTAACATCAATGTCCTGCCCTGGCCTGCTCAGTCGCCAGACTTGAACCCGATTGAGCATGCATGGGATATGCTACAGAGAAGAGCTCTGCCGAATATGGAGGGTATCCAGTCGCAAGAAGACCTTTTTTTGTTGTTGCAACGAACATGGGCGGCCATTCCACAGCGTGATTTGGATGAACTCATTTTGAGTATGCCAAACCGATGTTCTTGTGTTGTTAGTGTTCGCGGTAGAAATACGGATTATTAATTGTTTAAGTTACCCAATAAAATTTTAGAGAAAACTGTTATTTCAGTCTTTTTTTCGAACTTTTGTGTTAGTGGTTCAAATGTCAAAAATCCCTTTATTAGGAAAATGGCAAATTTCTTTATTAATGCAAAGGTGACTTGGTTTATCGTTACTGTGACAAACGAAAACACTTTATTTGATGAATCCTTAAAGAAAATTTTAATTAATATCAATCAGGAGAAAAGTTATTGCAAAAATATATGTTGATCCCTAGACACTTTTGATGTGTGTATTTTAAAAATATGTATTGCAGTTAAAAAAACTTAATTGCAAACAAAAACTGTGTCTCAAATAATAAAGTAAAAACTGTTTGGAATGTAATAAACTAAGTAACAAGAAAGACGAAAAATAACGGAAACACTTATTCGCTAAAGGTAAATGACAGGGTCATTGAATCTGATAACGAAGTAGATTCCCTATTTGCAGCCTTTTTCTACCGAATACCTATAGATACAACTAGTAGCTCCAGATCATGTTCAATCAGTGCTGTTGCCCTCCTAGAGTCAAGTGTAAACAAGATTAAGGAATCTTTTCATTTGAGACATATGAATGTTGAGATTATATCGTCAAAACTTTATAATCACTTAATAATAAGAAAACAGAGGATCTATGGGGATATCTCAACTAATATTATCAAAGCAATAATTTCTGATATTGCTCCCATATTTAACAATTGCTATGATGAAGGGATCTTTCCAAGCCTAATCAAAAATACTTTTCAAATATGGAGATAAAAATGACTCTACTAACTTCCTACCTCTATATTATCAGTCTTGAGCAAAATTTTTGAAAAGATTATTTTTAACCAGTTATCAACTTATCTTACCCTTAACAAGTTATTTCATTGCAATCAATACGGATACACCAAGGGTAAATCCACTACAGACTCTGAAACTACACTTGAAAAACATTTTTGAAGCCTGGGAAGGCAGGCAAGATGCAATAGGTATATTCTGTGATCTTTCTAAAGCTTTTGATTGCGTTAACCTCGATACATTATTGATGAAACTGGGGCATTATGGTGTCTTTATTAAATCAGTCGGCCTTATTAAATCATATCTATCTGATCGAATACAAAAAGTTGATATCAAAAAAACTAAATCAGCTGTAACCCCTTTGGTTATAGCCGTGCTTCAAGTCTATTTTAGGAATATGGTAGATATGTAGCAGTAAGAGGTCTGCCGGAACCAATAACATTTTGACAGCTAACTCCGAGAATAAATAGTTTGGGATTTTTTCACACAATCATGCCAGAATTCAGCGCGACATCTTTTTCAACTAATTATAAAAATTAGATAAAAAAAATGTATGTTGCGATATACGAGTAACACATCACGGTAAGTCAAATTTGGAATTCGTGATAAGTTTTGAATCAATTTATATATTCACATTTTTGCCTATAATACTATGGTAAGTCCCTTGCGGTGTTTGACGGATATTTCTCACGGGGTGGGTATGGCAATCGTTGTCCGAGATCACTCGCATCTTGTGGTCGATCAACACGCAAGCCTGGCATCGGGGATACGACACGCAGTACCATCGGCTTCGATTTGTAATAGTTGCGTACTTTTTATAGTAAAGGAAGCCGTTGTGGTACAATCTCTTTTTATTATTTGTCATGGTCACAATTTAAAATAGTTTGGGATTTCATGCAAGAATTCACCGCGACATCTTTTTCAACTAATTGTAAAAGTTGGATAACATATTTTTTACCCAACTTTTACAATTAGTTGTGATATACGAGTAACACATCACGGTAAGTCAAATTTGGAACTCGTGATTAGTTTTGAATCAATTTACATTTTCACATTTTTGCCTCTAATACTATGGTAAGTCCCTTGCGGTGTTTGACGGATATTTCTCACGGGGTGGGTATGGCAATCGTTGTCCGAGATCACTCGCATCTTGTGGTCGATCAAAACGCAAGCCTGGCATCGGGGATACGACACGCAGTACCATCGGCCTCGATTTGTAACAATTGTGTTCTTTTTATAGTAAAGGAAGCCGTTGTGGTACAATCTCTTTTTATTATTTGTCATGGTCACAATTTAAAATAGTTTAATATTTCATGCAAGAATTCACCGCGACATCTTTTTCAACTAATTGTAAAAGTTGGATAACATATTTTTTACCCAACTTTTACAATTAGTTGTGATATACGAGTAACACATCACGGTAAGTCAAATTTGGAGCTCGTGATTAGTTTTGAATCAATTTAAATTTTCACATTTTTGCCTCTCATACTATGGTAAGTCCCTTGCGGTGTTTGACGGATATTTCTCACGGGGTGGGTATGGCAATCGTTGTCCGAGATCACTCGCATCTTGTGGTCGATCAACACGCAAGCCTGGCACCGGGGATACGACACGCAGTACCATCGGCCTCGATTTGTAACAGTTGCGTTCTTTTTATAGTAAAGGAAGCCGTTGTGGTACAATCTCTTTTTATTATTTGTCATGATGACAATTTTAGCTGTAAATGAGAGCGTAGAGTAAATATAAAACTGGAGAAGTTTTGAGACAGACTCAAAAATGGAAGGTTCCATGCCATTGTTGCCAAGGTTGACTTAAGGAAGAGGTCACATTTCTTTTGGTGCGAATTAAAGCGTTCTTTTTAATTATTTAACTGTTATAGTGGTAATATGTAACATAATAACCCGACACAGTCTGAATGTGTGTGTACTTAGTCAAGTACTTACCTAGAATTTGTAGTTATTTTTAAAGAACAAGTAAGACGGGGGAGTTCTAGTTCTTATTTTTTTAAATTTCGATGCTAGGAAGGAGCAGACGAGAAGAGAAGGGCAGGCGACGAGTCCTTGAGAGCTCTTCTCGCCTGCTCCAACGGCCATCGGCTCTACGAAAAATATGGCCAACCCACTACTACTTCAGTCTACTGATTCTGGAAGCTATGTCGATGTCGCCAGCGATGCTTTTTTATATTTTGAAGATTTTTGGAACGATATGAATAAACCATACTTCTCAAGTTTAGTTATAGGGATTATTACGAAATCATAAGAACTTTAAATGATAAAAATATATTAGTTCTTTTCAAAATAAAACTGTACCAATTATTACATATACTTTTAAGTTTTAATGAGAACATATGAGCATATTTCTTGAGTTTTTTTTTATCTTTTAGAATTTGATAACTGCACCAGTAGTTAGGCGTTGCCGCCTAACCCCACGTTAGGCGGCAACGCCGTAAATGAGTACCCTTAGCACGAACCAATATCGAATTCGAATAGTTTTCGTGTCTGAAATGTCATTGCCAAATTCTGTATGGAAACTTGAACAGCAACACAACGGACGTAACGAGAACTAAAAATCAGTACTAATTTAACAATGATAATAATTTGCACTTGCAAACTATTCGAATTGGATATTGGTTCGTACTCACTATTTTATATTTTACTAACCCAGGTAGGCGAAACTGATTTGCTGCATAAGCATTATCAGTAAAAGTATAATAATGACAATAAAGTCGTTAATTTTCTCATCACAAACATTTGCATCAATAACAGTTTTTATACAGCTTCAAATTATTGTTTGGGTGAAACTGAAGACCGCACTAGGTAAGATATAGTTACAAGTCATCAAGGCTCTCTCAATTGCCAAAAAATAATAAGAAATGTAATGAATTTCAATATGCAGTTAAATAAAGTATGTACGTATGATACTTTTGTATCAATTACTGCGTGAAATAGAATAACAGCTATCTCACATATTTGCCATCGGCGCATTTGTGCACCGTCCTCTTCTCGTGTGGGTGAAACACGAACTGCTTGAAGATGCGTAAGCTATCCGTGACGCACAAGTAAGCTTTGCACCTTGGGAAGTTCGTGCAGACCCATTTATGGCCTACCCTCAGCTTGTACCGGTAGAAGAACGTATAGCCTTCATGGAGAAGCCACTTCCTCCCTGTGGTAGCCATTTCGATGAGTGTAGCTATAAATACAACAAAATTTTTTAAACTTTTCGCGATTTTTATACAACAGTTAGCTAGAAGAATAAAATCATACACATACCCTTCATGTATTATAGGAAAGATAGGTTGTAAATTTATTACTCTAAGTAATAATAACAGTTAGGGGGGAAGCCCCGGTGGTTCCGGCCATCTCCCTGACGGCAAGAAGGAGGAATCCCTACTGGGCGAACGTCTCAATCCGCTCTGGTAGGCGAGGAAGCACTGTTGAATTTGGTCTGAGTATGCATTACGCATTTTCCCGACAATAATAAAAAAAATACATAACATTTAGAAAACTTCTAGCTATCAGCACTCTTCTCATTACTATAAAGAATCTTATTTGAGTAAATAAGTGGTTTAAGTTCTTCAATCTAAAACTTATTTTTTTGAAAATTCGCCAATCTCAGGTTTTGTTTATTGGATAAGAAGCAGTTACTAGACATTTACCTATGTGTCAACTGAAAGACAAGGAGAGATAAAATAAAAATAATTCAAATATATAACTGAGGTAATATTATTAGTACTTATAAAATGAAACAAACAATTTTTTATTACATTCAATTAACGATGTATATAGTAGGTAATTAATAAATTATACATGGTAAGGGCATCCATTGCGTTAAGCGTGCGTTTGTGCTTCGCCGTGACTCGTAGCGGAGAAACATTAAGTATCGTCGTGATTTTCGCGGTAGATTACTTAGTGATAACGAACTATTTCAGGAAACGTCAGCACAAACAAGACCTTGTACTGCGGACGCTCCGGACACAACTGTAGCGAACGCCCTTACCATGTATAATTTATTCATTACCTACTATTTACTTTAAAAATATTTTTTTATGCTAAATATTCTCGATATAAGGCAAGATTTCATAAAAACTATTGAGGCTTAAATAAAAATTTCACGCATTTCAAAGCTGGACAATGCAGTTGCATATAACAGAATCGCCGTGCTTGTAGGTATGCACGTCGCTAACCAGGTCATATCATCATGTCACAATATATCACAGGACACAGCACCGGGTAATCTGTGCTGTAAGGTGAACAACGCACGAGGCGCGCACCGCAGCGGATGGCGGTCGCGTGGATGTAAATTTGTATAGGCATATACGAGTAGGTACGACATCACACTGGCATCCGCGTAACCGCGCGGGTGAGCCATACAAATTAACATCCGCGTAACCGTCATCCGCCGCGGTTCGCGGCTCGTGCATTGAGGCACTAAAGCCGGGTACTCATTAGCGAGCTGTAACCGTAACCGTTGCATGCACTGTAACCAAAAAGCTTAGTGTGTGATCCGCTAGCCTGCTGCGAGCGGTACGCGTGCGGTTTGCAGCGATCCGACGTTTACAAGTGAGCTACAAGCGTACACACTAGAACCTGGGTTCCGAACCTAGGGGTAATTACCCCTCAGGGGGTAAATCAGCCATACTTCGGAGGTAACAAAGGAACCTAATTATTTGATCAAATCTAAATAATAAGCAAATACTATAATAATACTACTAAATAGAGCATGCGCTTCTTCTTGCTAGCGAGCACACGGGGTGCTGAGTGTGGGAAGCGGGGCGAGATTGTCTCCTGATGATGACATTATTAGAGACGAAGATGTAGCGGCCAAATTGGAATTTCTTGGACTGATGATAACGTTTTAAAGTCGGGGTAAAATCGGTTTTCCTAATAGGTTACAGGGGCAGCAGTATTGGAAAGGTTAGGAAACACTGCACTAGAACCTCGTACTGTATCACGCATGTTACGGTTACAGCTCACTAACGAGTACCCGGTTTAAGACCACTGTCGAAGAGCTAATGTTTAACGTATTTGCCATCGGCACGTTTATGCAAAATCTTCATTTCGTGTGAGTGAAAAACGAACTCTTGGACGATTTCGAAGGTATCCGTGACGCACAAGTAGGCCTTGCATTTTGGGAATTTGGTGCAGACCCACTTATGGCCGAGTTTCACCTTGTATCGGTAGAAAAACGTATGGCCTCCGTAGAAGAGGCATCTCCTCCCCGTGATAGCCATTTCGATGATCTGAACTGAAAATACAACAATGACTTTCTTATTGGCTAACATAACTTAGGGCTCATTATTGAATCTCCACTTCAGTATCCCCAGTACGAACCATTATCGAATTCGAATAGTTTGCAAACCGAAATGTCAATGTCACATTTTGTATGGAAACTTGAACAGCAGCGGCACAAAGTACGTAACGAGAACTAAAAATCAGTACACCTTTGACAATGAAATTTCGGACTTGCAAACGATACGAATTCAATATTGGTTCGTGCTAGGGGTACAGATCTGTTGATATTTCTCATATGTAACTTTAATAGCTGTCTTTCCTTTTCATTCCCCATGGAGCATATAAGGATAAACTACTGTGTTCATCTGTAATTTTTTTGTTATTATATTTGCGCTGGAGTTTTACCACCATTTAACATCAGGTAGGTAAAACCATTAGCTTTTTCTTTTAGCAGATACCTTATATCCGACAATCCAAAAAAAACCGTCCCTTGAGTAAATTTCCATCGGTAACCCTCAATTAAGACTCACATACATAGAATCTTTTCTCTTTCATCGATTTAATATAATATTGTGGTGAAAATCAAACTTGTTTATCATTATGATTCAATTTATATTATTAGAAAAAAAAAACTACTCACGCACATTAGATCTACTTAGAAACATATTTATTTACATGGTATCTTTGGTAAAATCTAATAGAATGTTTGATTTTAAATGATATTTAGGTAACTTAGGCAAATATATTTAGGATGTTCAAGCAATTGCGGCTATATGCATTGTAAATACCTACACAACTTTATTTCCCTTTTTAAGCTTCATTTTATTGCATACCGTGTTCAAAAATTCAGCTGTCACAAGGCTCATTGTTGAAATTTGTCCTGTATTTTTTTGTGAAACGATAGATTTTAAACATAAGGCTAGGTAATTTAGTAAGTAGCTGACTATTACCTATGTAACTACTGATAAATCGGCCCTTAAAGCCACTATATAATAGCCATAGGAATGTAACAATAGAACATCATGGCGGCTCGGCACCGCCACGAATGCGTTTAAAGACCACCCATTCGACCTCCCTGGCTGCATCTCGACGCGGCCTTGGATTCTGATGGGGCTACTTTACCAACTATCGAATCCTCTACATCACAATTATGTTATGTTATATTCATCAACTTAAAATGTAATAAATAAATAAGTGTTTAAAAAAACACTATATGAAATGAAAACTGTCTGAGCCGACTTACATACATGTGTCATTCGGCTAATTATGGTACATCATCCTTTGGAGTTCGTGCGACTAGCACAAGAGCCGGTGATGCTTTTTTAACAACAAAAAAAATAAGCCTAATTATCTTTCTTCAATTCTTTCGCAATCCCTCAATAAGACTGCCGGCTCATTCGCTAACTTTTTTGACATTTGCAGTGTGCACCTAAAGAGAAAATTACATATTATAATAATAATAATGGTTTATTTAGATATTACTACATATTAATCGATCTGCCTTTCAGAATAAGTAGTGAGCGTTATAATTAAGCAGTAATGGATCTTTAAATAGCTCGGTGATTATCACTTCCACCTGTCAAAAGCAGTTGGCGAATAGGGCTTCTGGTCTTAGCTACCGCTGACGAGAGGGATCGCAGAAGGAATCAAAAATATTCTATTAGCATCCTTTTATAAGTATGTAGGCGTCGCCCGGTTTAATTGTAGTACATCAACTCTGAAGACCATGGTGTCTAAATCTAGCCCTTTAAAGACACGTCAACTCGCTATGGCTACCATGCGCGCATTGTTAGCTGTAGAGTCCAATAACAGTTGCGTTAGTGATATAAGTAGCAGATCAGCCTTTGGTGTCCGTGGTATCCAACAGCCTTCTCGAACGTTGTGTCGAACATAGCAGAACGTCGAATGCGTACAATCATTTATAACTACTCTAACCGACTTTTAAGTAGGTGCCATCCGGCATGATATGGTACATCGGCCTCTGGTGGTCATGGTGTCCAACGGCATATAGAACTTTGTCTTCGAGTGTCACAATGAGCCTGGCACGACAGCGTGACGAATGCGTGCAACTCCACCGGTTACCCCAACGGATTTTAAAATGTCTGTAGTAGGTATACCCGTCTAGCATTAGGCATTGCTTCCCGTTCTTCAGTGTAATCAATTTTCCTGGGTCTGTTTGAAAAATTATAAAATCATGCATTATCAATTTATTGCTTCGATTTCTGGAATGTTTATCAAATCATTAATTGACTACCATGCTGTTAATTTAAGAACAACAAATAAGTAAATTAAATAAGTTTGAGATTGTGACATGAATATTAGCGGCAAATTCTAGATACCCAAAATGACGCTTGCCATAACAATTTTGGAACTACATTTGACAGCTCTGTCAATTGTTGACTGAATTGTTCAACTTTAACGGGACCTTTAGCGGGAAAATGGGCATATGCGATCGCGGGCTTTTTTGAGTTCTATAAAATATCTGCGATAGTATATGCCCATCTTTTAAGTGTGACTCACTATAACTTTGTTCCTCAAATTAACGCGGGTGAAACCGCAGGGGGGCCTTTAGTTGTGACATAACTGTAATACTAAGACATATGATAACGCGGACTTTTTTGTAGATATTTGTCCTCTATAAATTTTTAGTTATCACTTTGCTCAATTGGCAATGACTTCCGCTGTGTAAGCGATGTTGCCGGGGCGGTGTGATTTGATTCCCAATAAGGAACCCACGCCGTCATATCCGGCAGAGGAGGACACATCCCGGAGTTTTAGTGGGTAGGGCCTCCCCATCCCGAGCAGCCACTAAGCAAGCCCTACGGGTTGGCTGAGTGGGTGGCCGAGAGGTGGGGGGAGGAGTCCCACATAACCCCGTCGGCTTACCCAGCGGCGGGGTATGCGTCAAGCATTTCTCCGGGTCAAAAAAAGAAAGCGTAAGTAAGTGTAAGCGATATT